ACTACAGAGAGAAAGGCAGAAAGGACAGAAGAGGTCTGACAAACTAATTACAGTTGACACTTGAAGGAATACTTGGGAAGTTGGAGGGTTTTTGTTTGTTTGTTTGGTGTGTGGTTTTTAGCATAGATAACTATAATAGTGGCATTGTTGTTTGGGGGTTTTGTTTGCTTGTTTCTTTTTGAGATAAGAAAAGTAAGAAGACTTGAGTAGGACTAAATGACATCATAATTTTTGCTCTTTGATTCTCTAGAATTGAAGTGCATCGTGGCTGTTTAATGAAGGATGATGTCCAGTAAGCTGATAACACATGGTCTGCATTTTCAGATCTGAGTTTTGAGGGACCCAGGTTGGAATACCAATTTATGAGTCATCAGTAGAGGAGTGATAAGTGACTCAATCAGTGGGGACAAATGAGCTGAACATGAAAAAAATAAAAGTTGAGGATAAGTTTGTTACACATTCATAGGTCTACACATTGGATTAGGTGGGCTTGTATAGGATAACTAATGACTGCAAGCATACTAAAGTCTCTCACTAAGCCTAGTCACTGGAAAAATAATCTGGTTATTTCTTTCTACAAGATTAACCTGATTGTTAAAGGGACCTCCTATAGCTTCACAGGACTCATTTAGTGACATTATAACATGTCGTACTTGATAAATGCATGTAATTTTTGTTACTTAAAACACCACAATGGAGAAAGGGCCTGGTCAGCTTCTCTAATATTAGAATTGTATCTGCAGATTCTATCATGGAAGCCCAATCGAATTGCCTAAGAGTGTAGGGATAGTGGATGGACTACCGCTTTCTTGTGTGGCACGTCTGCTGAACTTTTGCTCAATAAAACTTTGCGTAGGAATTAATCCAATATATTTTCTATGTCCTAGAATTATGACCTATTGTTTGTTAACAAGATGATAGTGGCATATCATGACTCTAGTATTCCAACAAAATTCAGTGGAACAGACCGTTTTTGATGAGATTGACACCCACTGCCTACTATACTATGGAGGCAGGTTTGATACCTTTTTTCATTTCAACAGCATATTGTACTCATTTCTAACTGGCAAACCAATGCTAGTAGATATAGCAAGAATTATTTTCCCTTTCCTACTTATTCATTCTAAATTTTAGAGATCCCGTGAAATTTCAGGTTCACCCCCCAGTTCTGACATTAGAATAGACAGAGTGTTGAGGTTATTATACTGTCTTTATTAGGCAAAGCAAAACAAAAATAGACTTTGTAGCAAGCATCTGAAGTTTGTAAACAAATATCATTGTTTTTACTTATAAGTCAGTCTAGGGTTTACTGATGCTTGTAATTTTAAAGATGTGAAACCCATATGGTTTAGTACCTAATATTTAGGAAGCAAGGGTTAGGCTTTGGGTTTGCTATGCCCTGGGCTCATGTTCCAACATTACTATTTCTTAGCTGAGTGAATTAGACAAGGTACATAAAGCGTAAATGAAAAAGTGAATACAAAATGCCAAGTTCAATGCAGGTACTTTTCCTTTCCCTTAATGTGAATTAAGCTAATATTTCTCAAAATATGTTCTGTTAAACCTCTTTCCTTCAAAATCCCCTCTCAAAAATGTGCTCATTGGTCAACTGAAGTTGTAAAATGCTACATAGTGCTGTATTATCTTGGAAAGCTCCAGCAGTCATTGTGATAGTTAATGGTGTTGAGAGGTATGACACTAGAAAACCATTTCTTGTTAACGTCTTGAAACCTGGTGTTTTCCATTTTTATTTTGTCATTATGCTTTTTCCCCCATGGGACAACCAGCCAGTTGATCGTTTCATTTTGGAGAAGAATTTAGGCTTAGAGGTAAGCTCCAGCTCAGTATGCAGGTGTCTTTATCAACCCATAGCTACCATTATCCTGAGGACTAACTAATGCTTTCTAGTCTAAAAGTTGCAAATTTGTGTGTTGGCATGGACAGGATTAACTTTTGGGAAAACTGAGTTTGAACATTAGTTCTATCATTTTTGGAACTATGCTGCCTTGACTGGTAGCAAGTCTCATTGGGCTTACCTATAAAGGAAACACTTTGTATCTTTTTCACAGAAGTACTGGAAATCCAAGAGAAAATGCTTCTGAAAACAAACTTGGAAAAATAAAATGCTGGTATAGGAAAATGCTATTAGTCTTGCCCTAGGAAAAGAAATTGTAAGGTATTGGGACATAGAAAAGTAGAATTTAACTAGGTCAATTCTCTTTCTTACCAAACCCTATTGCTTTGCTACCTGTCTGAATGTATTTTCAACTACAGGTTTCTTAAGTAAAATGACTCCCAGATGAATGTGCTTAAATGTCATTAGTAGCTCTATCTTTTGTCAGTGTTTTGGAACTTGCTTATACATGCTGTTTCACAGTGCAGTATGTAATACAGCATCTTGTATCTGTCCCTGCCCCTGCTGCTGAATAGTCAGTAAAGAACTATAATTATGGTGCCAAATAGAAAAGAAAGAGAGCTTTATTATAGACTCGAACTAATGTATTTAATGTTCATCCTCTCTACTTGCTATATATTTTCTGTTGGATAAAATTAAGTAAAGTGATAAAAATACTATGGAAAGTCTAAGGAATTTAGAATTACTGTGTCAGCAGTATTTTCTTATTTATTGATTTGTGTTAATTGATAGAATTTTTGACATCACTTCTTTATTGTATCTGGAAAAACTTAGGTGGCATTTGGAATAGGTTATATAAAACAGTAGAAAAATTAAAACCATATTTTGTACAGTTTTAAGATCAACATTTCACATAATATACTATAATAGTGGGAGAAAAATGCATTATAATCTTTTTTGCCTATTTTTGCTAAAGACTTTAGGACACTTAATTATCATGGGACATTAAAGGAATGTAGATTTTAGTTTTATGTTTCCTGCTTTTATATCATAAGTATTTATTTTCTGGTTTCCCAGAGACTCTAGTCTTAAGGAAGTCTTTTTCATCATCAGAAACTGTTCCTGACAGCAGAAATGTATTTCATTTTCCATCATAAAAATGCTTCTTCCTTTACTTCATGTACAGAGGCAGTGATGACACAAAATTGGCAGACAACATGCCATACCATTTTTTCACCTTATTTTTCTCCCATTCTCACTTTGTCTTTAAATCAGGTTTCTGAGGCTTAAAAATCAAAACTAGTTACCTAGTCTTATATCTCCCTGTAGAATCACTTTTAAACATAATGGAAAAACATCATATAAATTGGATTTAAATGTCACAGTTCTAAAGTCATATCTTTAAATATAAAACAAAACATTTTGTGGCTTTGATTTCTATCATATCTATTGTAGTTTGTTTTATGGATCATTTTGGAATGTCATATTGATTTTTTTCCTGTTTCTCTTGATATTGATACCTAATATCTTTGTTTAAGGGATGTCATAACCATCTTTAAAACCATAGAGATACCAGAATGAGTTTAGTCAGACTCTTCTGGTTTCATAGTGAGTTTACTAATAGTTGTCTTGCCATCTTTTGTCAGAAAGACCACAGTAATGAAAACCATATTTCACCTTTTACATACATAATTGGATGAGATCAGCAGATGTTGATGTTAGGAACAAATCAACAGGAAAAGTAGAAAATGAGACCTGCATGGAAAAATACTAGGACCAATTAGCTCTGTCAAAAACCATATGACCAAGTGCAGGGGGAGAAAAATAGGTTTTGACCAGGAACTGACCTCAAGTCAATTAATAGTGGAAAGAAACACCAGAAATGTCTCTTCTTACAGTTTTCTTAGGGTTTTCATAATTAAGTGAAAATACCTTGGAAATTGACACATTGTGGTCAGTACTCAACAACTCAGATTATTTCTGTTTTTCTTATTTTATGGTGATAATTTTCATGTATACAGAAAATTTAACTACTTAGGTTCTATAGTTGCCATCTATATATCACATAACCATCCACATACTCATTCTGTGGAACCATGAATCTTTCTGTCTTCCTGATTTACACACATCAGTAATTTCTGTCACTCGGGGTGTTAGCATAAAGATTTATTAGTAAACACTTTATATTGGCTCTTTTCAAAGATAAATTTTATATATTGTAAAATGTACAGACTTTTGTCATTTAAATATGTTCTTAAAATTACATATACTTAGGTAATTAAAAACCTACCACTCCCACTCTGAGGCAACCACTCTTCTGATTTTTTTAGTCATAAATTAATTTAGCTTGTCCTTGAATGTCCTATTAATAGAATTATACAATATATATTCTTTGTGGCTTAGACTTTCATTCAGAATAAAAATTTTGAGATTGATCTAGATCAATTGCTGTTGTTTGTATCAATATCTTACCCTGTTACATTGCTAAAATGTGTATATCCTGTGGATATAGCATAGCTTGTTTACACATTTTCATGTTGATGATATTATCACTCTGGGCCTTTTAATGTGATGAAAAGATTTTTTTTGGGGAAAAATTTTTTTTTACTTATGTAATAATTTGGGAGTACAATTTTTCTCTTATGTAATCATTTAGGAGTACAATTGCTGGATCTTTGGATAATTGTATCATTTTTTTTTAGGAAGATGCCATATATCTTTGAAAGTTTAATCAACTTAAACACACCATCCCATCAGTGCCCAGTGTTGTGACTCTTAACTATTCTAATGGATCAATACTGGAACTCATTATGCTGGTTATTTGATACTGGGTTTCCCTATGATCACTGAAGAAAACCCTGTGGAAGGCAAAGAATTTTTAAACTGTTATATCAGGAAAAGTTGCACTTGAGATCTGAGAATAGCCATTTGTAGCATGAATCTTAAAAGTTCTTATTATATTTTGGGGAACACAGCCATTTGCTTATACTTACTATTTTCTCTTATTTAAACAACCCAGTTATTGTGCTTTGGAACACTTGGGATGGCAATATTGGAAAATGCTAGGAGTTTAAAGGTCAAGGATGGCTTAGGTTATAAAGATCAGTGACTTGATTTTTATGTTCTTTATATTTTACTGTTACAGACGAAGCTACTATGGAGGAAACTGGGCCAGTTTCAGCTTTTCAGGACTGTTGTCCTGGCTAAAGGAATACCAGGTAAAATTGTTATCTGATATTGCAGATCACTCACTAGGTTGTATCTTGTATCAGTATCCATTCATTGAAGAGGTGTTTTTTTTCTGTCATATGAGATAGATACTTTATTTTCATACACTTACTTGACAAAAATAAGTACAGTTACCTTCTTACCTAATGCTTCATATGAATCATTCACAGAAATTTTACCAGTCATTGTAAAAATCTCACCTATTGTTAGTTGTTCTTTGTATTACTATATAAAAATAAAAACAGTGTACTATCAATTATTTGAAGAAAAAAACTTAATTTGAAATGTTCTCTGGTTTGTATGCTTATTTCTATCAGGTGGCAGAAGCACTTAAAGGAAAAGAAAGAGGAAAAAAATTGAAGTTCAGAAATTGTTTTTCCTATGGTAGCTTCTTGTTACTACAACTGTTGAGTACCCATCATAAAAAAGTTTTAGAGCAAACTGGCAGTGTGGTGTAAAGATTTAGTCATGCTATGTAGTTTAACATTTTTTATAAGACACGTTTTATATAGATGGGCATATGCGGCTTGAAATGTAACTTATGCTGAGAACATCTTACATGAATTCAGACCCTGTTCTCTCTCAAATTAGCTGAGAAGGTTGGGAATAGAGAATGATACTAGTTCAGGAATCTGTATTCAGTTAGCTAAAAATTATTACACATTTACACCACTCCATTACTCTACTAAGCATGGTACTTGCTTTCATTGATTCAATGGAATATATCAGCAGTAGCTCTCCTGATGACAAAAACATGGGTGATAAAACTTCAGTGATATTATTGTTTAAATACCATTGCATAAAAATAAGTATGGCCCACTGGAAAACATGCAGAGAGTGAGAGACCTTGAAATGCCCAGCCTCCATATCATATCCCGCCCATCAAAGCTCAAGGATTTATGTAGAAGATGGAACAGAAGAATTATAAGAGCCAGAGGTGGTAGATGACTTCAAGGAAGTAGCATTTTCCAAACACAGCAGGGTCTCATAGACACCAAATTTTATGCAGTTTTCCTCTGCCTCCTTTGAAGCTGGCATACTGTTGGAGTCAATTCAGTTACTCTGAAGCATTGAATCCTATTGTGATAAAAATAAAAACATGCCGGGCAGTGGTGGTGCACGCCTTTAATCCCAGCACTTGGGAGGTAGAGCCAGGTGGGTCTCTGTGAGTTCGAGGCCAGCCTGGTCTACAGAGCGAGATCCAGGATAGGCACCAAACCCTGTCTCGAAAAACTAAAATAAAAATAAAAACATAATTTTAAGACAAGATATATTTTTTTGGGAAATTTTAATTTCAGATCTTTCAATTTAGTTAAAACTCCTTTTCTGTGTTTTGTTTAGGAAAACAGTGATGTTGTGACTGAAAATTCAACATGGCAAGAACAAATACTTGAAAACGAGGAAGCTATTCTTCTTAGTAGCAAGGATAAGACAATTCAACATGTAGAAGTATTTTGTTATGCCAGGTATGAAAATTATTTATATAGCATTAAGTAAGATAGTAGCTGTGGTGTTATTCTAATTGTACTGAAATGTGATTTTGATTATATGTTAATAAATAAAGTTGCCCGGGGGTCAGAGCTATTAGAGCCATAGCAAAGGTGTGGTGGTGGTGGTGGCACATGCCTTTAATCCCAGCACTTGGTAGAAGAGCTAGATAGATCTCTGTGTGTTCAGGGATACAGCCAGCATTGGAGACATACGCCTTTAAGACCTGGAGGGCTGTATATACAGACAGTGAAGAGGCAGTCACGTGTTTGGGTTTACAACCAATGAGAAGGCAGAACAAAAAGACTATATGAAAAGACATACACACAGCAAGTAATTCTCTTTCGGAGAGCTAGGACCACCGCAGGAGGAAGGGTGAGATTTTAGCTCTGAGCTCTGACCTCTTGGCTTTCTCTTTTACATTGGTTCTGTGTTTCTTATTTAATAAGACGGTTGGTTACATCTACAAATAGCTCTTTTCCCCTTTTCACACTTCTTCAGGAAAATTGAGTAACAAGGATGTTGCTATGGTAAAATCAATACATTGGTTTTCTTTCTTTTTTTAGCTATTGCTTTCAGTGTTCTGTATTTTTGAAATAATAACATCTAACAATGCCATACATTTCATTTTCTCTTTGTGACAATCCTGTGTTACAGTAGGGCTGTGCTGGTTAGTTTGTCAACTTCACACTAGCTATGGTCATCTAGGGAGGGTTAACTTCAACTGAGAAAATCCCACTAGGCCTGTAGGCAAGTCTGTGGGGACATTTTGTTAATTAGTGATTGATATAGGGTTAGTGTCACCCTGGGGCATTTGGTCCTGTAATAAGAAAGTAGGCTGGCAGCTCGAGATGGCTCAGAAGTTAAAAGCACTTGCTGCTCTTGCAGAGCACCCAGCTTTTATTCCTAGCAATAACATGGTGGTTCACAGCGATCCACAACTCCAGTTCTAGGAGCTCCGATGCCCTCTTCTTGCTTCTTTGGACACCAAGCATGCATGTGGTATACATGCAGGCAAAATACGCATACACATAAAATAAAATAATTTTTTAAGAAAAATCAAAGAACGTAGAAAAATGGCATTCTTTTATACACTGCTTTATAAATGTGGCCTAGCCACTCTGGAATTCAATATGGATGCTTCTCAAATAAACTAGCAATAGATCTCCCATATTTAAATTAGCTTTCTTTTCTTAATGTTCAGTTGTTTGAGTTTGTTGTATATATTATTCAGTAACCCTCTGTCAGAAATATAGCTAGCAAAGGCTTTCTTCTGTTTGGTGGGCTGCTTCTTCATTTGATTGACAGTTTCTTTTGTTATACACAAGCCTTTTAGCTTTGTACATTCCCATTCCCCATTGTGAGAGGCTGCTGTCTCTTACCCTATTGGTCAATGAGATAGAACAGTTGGAACAGTCCCTTCTTTTATTTTTACTCTTTTTTTTTAATGTTTGGTACTGAATCTTTTTATGTTGCTTAGGCTAGCCTCTAGCTCCTGTCCGTGCTCATGCCTCAACCTCCCAGAGTGATGAGAAGACAGATGTGCACCCCTCCCTGTGTTTACACAATGATGGGGATCAAACACATTGCTTTGTGCAAGCTATGCAGACACTCTACCAACTGAGCTACATCCCCATCCCTGTTTTTTGATTTTAGTGTGAATTTCACTGATGGCTGATTTTGTATATCATTTCCTGTACTTAGTTGTCATTCATTTGTCTTTGGGGTGAAGTGTCTGTTGATTCATGTTTTTTACATCTTTTTAAATAGAATTCATTTTTTTTCTTGTTGACTGCAGAATTCTTTTTCTAGGTATTTGTTCTTTGTTAACGGTGTAGTTTAAAAATACTTTCCCCTGAACTGTGACTTGTCTTTTCATCCTCTTTAAACAGGATATTTTGTAGAGCAAGTTTTACAAATTTTAACGAGCTGCCATTTCTTCCTTTTTCCTTCAGTGTATTATGTTTTTGGCATCAAGTCTGAGATCTCTTTACTTGGATGTACTTCCAGAAGATTTTGTCTTGTTGAAAAGTACTTCCTATAGTTAAATATTATACATTTTAGTCTGTGACCCACTTTGAGTTATTTTTTTGTATGTGACATGAGAATTAGGTAGATATTCTCCCCACTCCCTAACCTCAGGACATCATTTGCTTCAGCATCACACTCTAGGGAGTATGAAGATTATTTTGTCAGAGTTTTATCCCGAGTGCTGCCTCTTTGAACCTCCTAATGCTTTTGCTGTTCAAAGGTATTTTTTTTCCTTTAAGTTATCTTCTGCAGTTAAACAACTGATTAATGAAAGGGAAGACAAATAACACATCTGCAGTTGTTGGTTTTTATTTTTGTAGCAGTCACTATAGCCCTCTGTAATATATCATATTACATTTTTTTTATTCTGTGCTGAAGCTATGGCCATGATTTGTTACAAATGGATAAACTGAAGTTCAGTGAGACACAGTTACTGTAGAACTAGGGTTTCAACTCATAGTTCTCTACATCAGAAGCTGTGCTATTTCTATTGTACCTCTTTTCAATTTGGTTTTGGTTTTTGTGAGAGAGGACAGGACCTTGTTATACTGCCCAGGCTTGAGCTTGAACTCGTGAGGACATACGGTATTCTAGCATCCTTGATTTGTTGAGATTGTAGTCTATGTGCTTGGGAATATTTCTTAGTTTATATGGGAGCAGTAAAGTAACCATTATTTCTATCTTTAAATCTTGTACAGATTAGGAGAAGGCACACAACATTAATTATTCCCACTTGGGTCACACAAATGCAGATAATTCTTAGACAAAAAATTATTGCATGTTAATTTCATACTTGTGTTTTTTCTTTAGTAAGAAAGTATTTTTTTTAATTAATTTAATATCTGTGGGTGTGTATGTTTGTGTAAATATATGCTCACATGCATGTGTGTGGAAGTCAGAGAAGATCTTGCTAGAATCAGTTTTCTCTTTTCTACCATGTGATTCCTGGGATCAAGCTCAGGTTGTCACAATTGGAGGCAAATACCTTTGCTCACTGAGCCTAGGAAGAGGAAATTTTATTGTTCTAAACATATGTCATTTTTGAATATTAATGACTAATAATTCCCCCTTTTTGATATAAAGTTAAACCAGAATAAAAATGTGCTTCTAAAATTAAAATGAACCAACTTTTTAGTGGATTGATATATCAAATATGAAGCTTTTATTGTAACAGGAATTTGAAATTCTTCTTCATTTTGAACTCCAAAAAACATGAACAGTAAACTTCTTGAACAATATTAGCTGTTGCATTAGTCCAATAAGAAGAATGAAATAAAAAAAAATCAATGTAGTATATGCTGCATTTTTGCAGTTTAGAGGAAGTTGTTTATTATTGTATACAGTAAGTTTGTTTTAGGCTGTGAAAGTATGCCAATTAAAAGTTGTTGGAACAAGTAGACAGATGGGAGTGTATCAGGTAGGTCGACAGGTCGACAGAGGATTTGTAGCTTGTTTAGCTTGTGCATGTTGGAGTACTAAAGGTGCACAAAATTTTAGCTTTCCATCCAGAGTCTGTAGATGCTTACTAGCTAGATGGCTGCCATGATTCCAGACAAGTTCTCACACAACTAAAACCTCTATACAGGAAAGGAAATGGAAGATTATAGATATAATTTTATATGTATAATTATATTTTATTTATATAAATAAATATATTATAATTTATAATCATAGATTAAATAAAGTCTCTACAAAGAGCTTTCAAAGGATTCTACTTCAACTTTTTTGATAAAATTAAAGTACATGCACACTTTTAAATCCATCATATCAAAAAGGAAATGAAGTTACAAAGTATAATTTTGATTGGTCATGATTTATTCCTAGGGCTGGTTATCGTCTGCCTGATAAATTGTCATAAGCTCAGTTTATCTCATAGTAAGCAAAAAGGCTGTTATGGTTGAGTAGGGAACCAGTGTTACCTGCTGCTAATTCATGAAGTTTTGTTTTGATAAATGTAAGGAAAGGTTGATATTTCAGCTGTATTCTATAATGTGTAAAACCATTTAAGTTGATAACAACTAGAGAAATTTCTACAATATATTACATTGTAGAAAATCAAAACTAATACAGTTTTATGGAACAGTTTGGGTAGTCTGTTTTCTGTAACTCTTTTGAGTAGTCATGGAATATTTATATATTTTTAGGCGTAAACAACTGGAAAGCAGCATAATACACTATGCAAATAAAAAATGAATGGTCTTAGAACAAAGTGTATGTATCAAATAAAAGAACACAATTTCTATAATATGATATATTAGGAAAGAAAATGTACAAAAGGTGAAAAATAATGAACTGTAGTTGGCATTTTTTTAGGCCACCAGCAAGCTTTCCAAATAAAGACAAGAGACTTATTATTAATTATGAATTCTCAGCCTTAGCTTAGGCTTCACCCATGAGCTCCTTTAACTTAACTTGACCTGTTCCTATTTATCTACATTTTGCCTTTGTGGCTTTTTACCTTTTTTTCATTCTATATGCACTACTTTCCTCTTTCCTTCTTGTCTGTCTGTCTGGCCCCTGGCATCTCCCTGTTGTCTCCTTTTCTTTCTCTAGAGGCTAAACTCTTCCCCTACTTACTATCCCTGCCTGGAAGTTCAGCTATTTAGCTTTTTATTAGAACAATCAGGTTGGCAAGCAAGTTAAAGTGCAACACATCTTTACATAATAAACAAATGCAACATATCTATTCATAATTAAACATATATTCCACAACATAAACATATGAAACACATCTTTACATAGTTAAATATTCCACAACATCTACAAATGCAACACATCTTTACATAGTTAAACAAATGCAACATATCTTCACATGGTTAAATAAATACTCTGCAACATTTCCCCCTTTTGTCTAAATAAAAAGAAAGGTTTTAGCTTTAACATAGACTATACAATAAGAAAACTTACAAAATAAAAATTACATTTACAATATCCAGTCCATTTGCAT